ATTCCATGTGTGTACAACATAAGATAATTGTCTTATGTGACATAAGACAACTATTTCCCTATATAAAATGGGTCTGCCTCGAGCCAGAAGCAGCGTGTCCAGATCTCATGCGACATACAGATACAAACAAACACAGTACAACTATATTTAGTGAGAATATATAAAGTTTCCGCAATACCATATTCATGACCTAACCTGGACTATAGTGGACACAATATTCAAGTATGTCAAGTATCAAAATAGAACAAACTGATATTTAACTATGTTCTTCTATGTTTTTTTTCCACTTGTTTTTCTTCAAATGATAATTGGCAATGTTCTTATCTGTATTTGGGTTATGCTTGCTGCCAAATACATCCCCACCTACTTGGCTGAATTAGCAGTATCTCTCGAATGTGCCGGCTTTATCCGCGTTGTTACGGCCCTTCTATATTTTTTTAAGTTAGTTTGATGCGAGGTAAAAGTTAAATAAAATAAAATAATAATCATTTCCCGTTAAATCTGACTAGTGAGTATGGGGTGGAGGAAACCCTTGTATACAGCGTTACTAATACATAATTGTAAAGAAATTATTTCCTGAATTTAAACCTATGACCTATAATGACAGCTAACAGGAATTAAATATAATACACGTTGGATCGAGGTAAAAGTTAAGTAAAATAAAAATAAAAATACTTCAATCAGTTTTCAAATGATTACATATATATTTTTAGTATTCGCTTTTTCTACCGTCAATGTAGATAACTTATTTAGATTGAGCTCAAAACGATATCGTTTTGAAGCAGAAATCAAGGTATTTTTATAATTATAATTTATTTCAGGGTTATAATAGTCTTTTTTATTATAGTTTTTTAATTTTTTAACTCAAAACGACGTCGTTTTAGCAACGAATGTAGATAACATTAAAGCCATATTTTTAACTTTTTATTTTGCTTCAACCGACAAAGAAAGTAAAGAAAGATACTATAAAATGGAAATATTATTTCTCTTAATAGATGAGACAATTTGTCAACATGAGAAATAATATTTCCATTATAAAAAGTGCTAAATATTTTTTTTGTGTTTGAGGTCTTTATAAATTTTGTTTCCATAAAATTGGCGATACATTATTTTTATTTTTTTGAGAGGAGTGTTCATAGTATGTTTTTGATATTATTTTATTTATTTATTGTTGAGTAAAATTTTGTATTAATTTCATTTAATAATATGAAATACTAAAAAAAATTTCATATAAAATGACATTGTGTTTGACTCAATCAAAAGTTTCAAAATTTAGTATTCAGATTGCATATTCTATTTTTAACTTGGGTCATTGTCGCCAGTCGCCACGTTTGTATATTATATGATATTAAATTTAGTATTATATGGCAGTCTTACGTAAAGCAGAATGAGGTTTAACTTGAACGCAGTTGCTAGCCACTAGAATTGAATAGTTTACAAAATGTCATTTTTATTTTTGGGATATGAAGAAATGTCATTGAATTGAGCGTTAACCTAATATTTTTATAATTGGAGTTAACTAAAACTGCTCAAGGCAGTCATCATTAGAGCTTGAAGAAACCGATTTCCTGTATTACCAAATCTAGTGAGCAAAAATCGAGATGAATGAGCTTTTTTTGAAGTTAATTATGACAAATGCAGATAGGGATTAGTTTAACAAAGATATTAGCAACTATGACTAGTCTCCTAGAAAAACTCTTGTTTTGGTAGTATTAAAGAGATTACTGTATGAGATGTTTGAATGCATTTACAGGATGGGTTTGCACGTGGAAAAAGTGCAAAAGTACAATGAAAGGTGTTTTAAAAGAAAATAATAAGACACGTTGAGAAGCCAACGCTGGATTTGTTGCTATCCGGCTACTTACTGGTCTTGCGTAATGTCAGTTTGTTTGTATGTGTATTTTAGGGTTTGAGGAATTTAAAGTGGATCTGTGGAAGTGTACTTTAGAAGATAAAATATAAAATTATAATTAGATTAAAATATTAATAACAAATTTTAATAATTTTAAGTTGTTATATATATATATATATATATAATTACAAGTTGAACAGTTAAATTTTTTTTTGGATTAAACGGTTAAATTTTTATTAATAATTATAACTTCACACTTTTCTTTTAAATATTTTCTTTACTTTAGTAGGAGGTGAAATTTTTTTCTTAAAAAAGCGGGGAGGAAAAATAAAAGTAAGGCTGAGAATTTTTTTTTCTCAAATTTGCCTTTCCACATAGAATTGTCATGGAAGATTGCAATTGATGGGGTGGAAAAAAAAATTTCTCATGCGGTGAAAAAATTATCGCATAGCATCATTAAAATTAATTCGATATTTTTAGAAAAAATTTGATCTACCAAACACTTTTTAATAACTTATTCGAAAAAAAATTCACCATATTCCCAAAAATTATGTTTTTTCGATAAAAAAAAAATTCTCCTCCGTAAAACAACCCCTAAAAAGTCAAATATTGAGTTGTAGGTGGAATGTAACACTTAACAAGGGAAGTGGCACCAATTCAAAACTCCACAAATTAATTTTGAGATAACCCAATAATTTTCTTCAAATTTTTTACAAATTATACTGTAAAATTAAATTTAACAAGTGAGGTTTAATAGTTTTGAAAAAATGTCTCCACGATAATATACCAAAAATAATTACTTTTTAACAATTAGATAAATTATAATTAAAAAATTAATATTATTTCCCATTCTTTGAATTGATAATATGTTAAATATTTATTAGTTTGTTAGACTTGCCAAACTCCCAAACTTAGGGCCTGTTTGGAGCACCTGATAAAGAACATGGGATATGATAACTTATCATATCCTACTTTTATCTCTTGTTTGGTAGGTCAATAGGATATGATTAGCTTATTCTATTGTCTCATTTTATCCTATCCAATACATGATTTCTTATTCTATGGGAGAGCTGGATTATGATTCAATAGGATATATACCAATATTGGATACCCAATATAGCCCACGCTACCCAATACATTCTCACGCACTCCAATATATTTGTATTTATTGCATTATATATATTTTTTTCTTTCTCCTTCTACATAATCTTATCAGATTGATAATCAGATGCTTATCAAACACAGGATATGACATAGGCTTATCAGCCTCATATCATATCCTATCTTTATCAGCCTCATATGAGCCCTAAGTAGCAATCTCTACATATTTATAAAAAGAAAAATGTTTGTCTTTTTAAATGACACAACTTGTGTCATTTCACTCTCACAAAGTGGTGGAACCCACATTTTTTTTTGTCCACTCTCTTTCTTTCTTTATCTATCCATTTCTCTCACTTAAAATGACACAATTTTACATTCTTTAAAATGATACACGCTTTTCCCATTTATAAATTATAACCCAAGACCTACATTTTTTAGAATTAAGCTTTTTAAAGCCTAATATAAACATATTGAATTCACCATTAATAAGCTAATTCTGTAGCGTATTGATTCACCATTAATGATTTGGAACCTCAACGATAAAATGATTTAACAGACAAGATGGATTGTATTTGTAAATTCATAATAGGAGGAAGGAATGATCGTGTGAACTGTGAGTGTGAGTTGACTGAATGAAAGGACGTGGAAGACACGCTTGAAATCCATCATCCCTGTGAAAAGACAATTAAACGGTGATTGAGAATTAAGCCATTAGAATTCATTTAGTGGTAAGAGATTTGAATAGTTTATATTAGATTATATGTTCAATTCTTATTAATGTATTAAAAAAATAATGGAGAATATCTTTATTGCTAGGGATACATTGAATTTTCAGTATATCTTTCACTTATAATGTAACACATATTTTAGTTTTGTCAAATCATTAATATATAATTTATTTTAAAATAAGATAAGAGGGTTATTTAATAAAAAATAAAATGTGTCACATTATAAGTTGAAAATGCACTAAAAACTCGATACATCTACAACACTAAAAAAAATTTCACGGTGAAGGTGTATCTATGACTTCCATTTAAAAATTGATATTTGTATTAAAAAAATTTATTTTTCATACACATATCACAAAAAATATCTCATTTTACTTAATCCATTATACCGAATCAGTGGTGCGAACTGACTCTGAGCAACCAGACATTACAATACAGTGTCCCTAAATAGAACAAGGTCAAATCACAACAGAATAGATGCAGTGCTTAGTGGTAATATTACAGAGGAGAAAGCATAGAGAATAGAGAAGCTTTAGTCACATAACATAACATAATGAATAACAGTTTTACGTATTACCGAGATAGATTTAATGAATCAATCAGACCAGAAACCAGGTTCCACGTGAAGTGATTAGTGACCTAGAGTACTTACTTTTCTTTCTCGCAAACCCAAAAATTAAAAAAATTGGGTCAAAATTTACTATATTAAAATAGAGATATTATTTCTCATATTATAAAAAAAAATAAAAAATTATACACACATAAAATATATAAAACTTTTTTTTTTCTTCACATAGTCCGTATAGGTCCACATACTTTATATATATATAAAAGATAAAATTATTTATTATAATATAAGAAAAATTAATCCCATTAAAATAAAAAAAAATAACAAAAATGAGAGGTACAACTATAAAACAGTAAAAAGCAGGAGAAAGCGAACATGAGGAAAGAAAAAAGGGTGAAACGCCAGCGCGTCGCTCTCCTGCTTTCTCTGCTTTTGATGCCCTCAAAACTCTTTGAAGCCCAACGCCCTCGCTTTCACTGCAAAAGCTACTAACCCAATGACCACCTATTTTTAATTTTTCTTCAATGTCGCACAGAAGCCCCACTTATTTATATTTATTCAACAGATAAGAGACATGCGTTGTGTGGGACTGAATACTTTGACCCTCCCTTCTCACAACATTGTCCTTGAAATATCCCTCAACAACTGCTTTTAAAAAAAAAAAAAAAAAAAAAATCCCCCAACAATTAAAGAATAACAAAAATAAATTAAAAATAAGAATTTCATTCAACTATCCATCCTTTGTATAACTGTACATTTTATTTATTCCCAACTATCCACGCATTTTAGATCTAAGCTCAGGGAAACATTCCACTTTGTCCCCTCTTCCTATCTTTCCCATCATATTCATATTCTATTCTATCTAGTAACCACAAAATTTAATAAATCCCACCCAATTTCCAGAACCCAAAAAAAAAAACAAAAAAAAAAAAAAAAGAACTTCACCCAACTTCCATGTACAAGTTTTCCCGTCCTTCAGCATACCATCATCATGGCTATAACTTTAAAATTCAGCCATAAAACAAACCCCAATTTCGGGAGTTCTGCCAGTCGCTTGACCAGAGAGTAGCATGTTAACCAGTCAACTCCAAGACTCTGCCGAGGTTTCAAACTTCCAGCTATTTTTCTTGGATGTTCTGATCAATGAGGAATTTTAACCTTCGTGAAGAAATATTGCAGCCTCATTTTGTACTAAAGGCTACCTGTCTTCAATGAATATTCTCCCCACAAAATCACGAAACCTCTTCGAGTAGAGCTTTGGATCCACAGCAGAAATTGAAGTAGGGTCAACTTGCAAGGACTTGTAAGCATGCTCAAGCTTCTTGCTGATGTCATAATCTTGCAAAATGTCAATAATCCCAAAATATAGAACGACATCATAAGTCTCCCCACTGCAACAAGGGGTCAAATGGCTGATTCCAACAGTGGTGTATTGATCAAAATCACTCCTCCGAGCCATTCGTTCTGCTCTTGCTGGCATATTGGCTCCTAGCCTAATTAATGATTTCCTGAAACAGGAAGAATCCTACTTAATGCATGTCATAAATTGGAAACTATGCATTCACATGAAAAACCAAGAACCTTGAATAGTTTAGAAACGTAACAAAATTGGGGAAAAAAAATTAATATCTTCACACCATACAGCACCAGAAAGTTGAAATTGAGTTAACTGTTTGTATAAGATAAATCCAGAATAAACATGAATGCATAGAAAGTATGAAGCAACCATAATTGACTCCATGAATTCATTGTCAGACCAAAAATAAATCAGAAATCCAAATTTGATCTAATAAATAAGGACCACAGCTTGCATGTGCCCACAAACAACTGTTGTCTGCTATTGCCCACTGCTTGCCAAAATAATGCAAACTACTTTGAATTATTATCATAAAAGATATCAATTAAAATGAAGAAATTATTAAACATCTTTAAAGCCATCAAAGAATTAGAACTTACGTTAGCATGCATATACAGGTCTACAACATCTTTGTGATTCTTTCAAGAGATAGCACGAAAATATCTATTATTATTTTCGCTCTGATGGAAATATGAGCAATTTCGCCAAACTCCAATACATCTCTAAAACACACAATTCTCATTTCACCATGGTTAATGACTTCAACTGATTCAGGAAACACTCTTGTGCCTATCCAATTTAACTACAGATGCAGGTGTTATAATAATGGACTGATTTTATAAATTCATAACTGAAAATTCAATCTACATTAATTTTAAGGAACTAGAACATATCATGACTTACCTTCCAGATTTAACTCGATCCCTATCTTGTAGCTCTGCTTCAAGAAAGCGATAACCACGCATGAACTTTTCACTCTGATAAGATTCCCGATTGCCTATAAGGAGCAACAAAATGACTTACAAAATTCTGTAACATAAATCTTATCATCTATATGCACCGAATAGGACGATGGATCAGTTACCAGTGCGTAATAGAAATGGTGACAATCCCATTTTGTCACATGTATTGTCATCATCCCGAAAATGAAGGCCAACCAAAAGACTATAGTCCATAATTTTCTCTGCTTCCAAGAACTCACAATCCCTCTCAATTTGTCTGAACAAAATATCAGGACTAATCAGCATATATGTACGTGTAATGTTTTCACTGCTAAGTAGCATCCTGGAAAAGTATGGATAGGACAAACAAATAACACAATAACTTACTTTATGAGGTCCTGAAACCAATTTCTTTGTACACGAAACACAAAATTGAGATCAAGGTCCTTGAGGGTGGTAGTTTCATCGATCTCATCCTCAGGTTTATCTGTTGTACGGCCATATGAAGATCCTTTTAAATCAAATCGTCTATGAATTGGATATTCGGAGCAGAAAAGATTGCCCATCACAATGAACCGGATCTGTTTTTCAATAACAATGAAAAGTCAAGTACTGAGAAGCATAGGGCAACCCCTCCAAACAGCTATAATATATCTACCAATCCATACCTTCTGGCCTCCAATTGGTTTGACACAGTGTACCCCGTAGAATTTTGTCACGAGTGAGTTATCGTATCGAGACACATGTTGGTAATAACTTCGAAGCATCCGAATAAGCACCTAAAATTTACTCACAAAATCAAGCGTCAATCTAGATATGCACCAAGCCAAAGATGTATAGTAGCAAAGAACTTTATAGAAGGTAAGAATCTATGGTTTATCATAAAACATGCATGGCTAAGCTATAAAGGCAGGTCCCCTCTTCCAAAGCCCAAATTGTGGTGTAACGTCCCCCATGTCATGGAATAGATGAAATAAAACAAAAAATGGATTTTTGTTCAAGAATGAAATCTTATTGGGAACGTCGGGTTTATGTTGTCTGTTACACTAAAAAGTTTACAATTGTCGCGGCGTGTAGAGCAACTTGGCCATGACATGTGTTCTATTCTAAGCATAGTATTATGGAATGAATGTGGAATTTAACAAGTACAAGTCTATGGCACAAGTATCTTACTTTGACTTCAGATTTCTTCACTGTCTTTATCATGAATCTGTCATCTTGGGTCAAATAGAAGATGCTTCCACTTTTACCGGGAGAGGAAAGCTCCCTGAGGGCATCATCCCCACATATAGCTAACATGTAATCAGCAGGATCCACCTGAAACAGCTTCCTCAAATGTCTGCAAATTCAAAGCAGGATTGGGTCAACAACAAAGCAGAAGACAACAGGTTGGCTAGCTAAAACACACTATATACTATTGCATCCAAAACAACCATATCAAGTTCTCCATAGGTTGCCTTGCTAAAACACTCCATTTACTATGGCATCCAAAACAACCACATCAAGTTCTCCGTAGGTTGCCTTGCTAAAACACTCTTATACTATCGCAAACAACGTGTATTATTTAAATTTAAAAAAAAAAATCAAAACAAATCAAAACAAAAAAAGCAATACCTAAAAACCACAGGGCAGTAATCCTTCCATCGAAATTCCGCAGATTGATGGGGCGGCGTAATCTTGGATCCTTCAGGCGGAAACCTGGTCCAGAACTTCTCCTTCGGATCAAAATCACTCTGTTTAAGTTCTCGCAACACCGAGGCTTCCTTCCCAACAGAGTACCTATACACAAAACATGAGTTCAGCAATCAGCAAAACAAAAACCCAATTCAAACAAATCAGAGTAAAATATCTCACGGGCAGATGATTTACCTTATCCCTAATTGCAGATTAAGCATCAAATCATAATTCTTATGCCCCTTGGAAATCGTTTGACCCGGTCTCTTAACATCAGCCGAGAAACAACAAGGGTTCCGCCGAAACAACTCATCAGAATCCGACGCCGTTCCATCCCGATAGAACATGGACGCCTCCACATTATCAATAATATCGCAAGTTATATCACCAGCTTCACCCTCCGATTCCCATATACAAATCCTGGGAAAACTCTTCTCGTTCACACTCCCTCTGGATGAACCATCCACCGAAGACCTCTTCCTCATCGTTACGCCAAAATTATCACCAAATAGCAACCCATTATTACCCTTCAAACTCAAACAATGCTGCATCTTCATGACTCCATGTGCCTTTGGGACCCCGTTCTCCCACGGCCCATCGTAACGGTTTCCGTTAGCCCAAACGAGCTCACCCTTACCGGAAATAACGCCGTTCTTCCACTCCCCGATGTACTGGTTCCCTTTCTTCCAAACGTAACGCCCGTGCCCGTCTTGCACGTTTCGCTTCCACCACCCTTCGTATAAATCCCCGTTCGCGTAACGCTTCTGCCCGAACCCGTGCTTGCGGTCGGAGCTCCACGACCCGCGATACGTGTCTCCATCGGATCCCACGAACGTACCGAACCCTTCCATCCGACCCGACTTGAACTCACCCTCATAGGTCGCACCCGATGGCCACGAAAACTTGCCTTTCCCCGAAGCCTTTCCGCGCTTCCACTCTCCCTCGTACATGCACCCGTCCGTCCACAAGTATTTCCCCGATCCGTGAGGCACGTTGCCGGAGAAGCTCCCGACGTAGAAATCGCCGTTCGGAAGAATCTTCTCCACCACAGATCCGCCGTCGGTTACGATGGTAAGGCTGGTCGGCGTCACTCTTCGGGTTCCACCTTGGGGCCGGCTTCTCCCGGCGACTACAACCGCCGGCAACGGCGACGGCTTGGAGAAAACGTCGCCGGCGTCATCACAAATAAGTGCTTCGCGCATTTTTTTTTTCTTTATGTGGTGATGTGTGTGAATGCAAGTAGGCTCCGGAATCAATGCATTTTTCTGGCGACGATCAGTGGTGTGTTGCTCAGTGAAAAAATTTTCTGCACATTACTTTACCACCGTGCGATTCGTGTGTGTGAGTATCGCCGGCAGCGAAGTTTCTCTCTCTATCTCTCTCTCTCTAGGATTTTCTCTTTCTCTCTCCTTTTTCCCTATTGTTTTCTCTTTTTGTGCTGTTTGGGGGAAAATGAGGGAGAAGCATGGTAAGCACAGAAGGGAAGCGGATAGAAAGAGAACGGACTGGGCTGTGTATTTCCAATTTTAACGAAAAATACTTTATATTTTATAAATTAACTTAAAATTGATTTTTAAAAAATAAAGAATAAAAAGAATAAAAAGAAAGTGTCAATGAGTTGGCTTTAACTAGGTCAGTGGTAACTGGTAAGTGAATAATTAATTATAATGCAAGAAAAGCTTGTTATTATTATACGACGAACATGTACCTAAGCGTGTAAATGGATTGGAGTGGACTGGACTTTGATCTTCCTGGTCTAAGCCTACGTAAAAAAATATTCAGCCAACCTGGTCTACTGGCCTACTGAATGTTTTATTTATAGGCCAAGTCCGGATTACTTTTAAAAATTAGAGAGCCTGATATGGCCTATAGGCCTTGTAGGCCTCCCTCGTGATATATTTTTTAAAAAAAATTAACAATCTTTAAAATATTCACTTAATATTACAAGTCATTAACGTGTTCATTAATTGCTGCATTTTTTTACATGAGATATAAATTTCACTAGTGAGCATTAAAAATTTTACAATAATAAAAAAATAACAAAATATATATTGAACAAAGTTTCATTCATGCATGCACTAGTACTAGAGGTGTAAATGGGCCAGACTGACCTAGCCCAGCCTACAGCCCGGCCTACATTAAGCCTAGCTTGGCCCGACCTTTCAGAAAAAGTAGAGTAGGCTTAGGCTTTTAAGAAAGTTTTTTTAACAAATAGGCCGAAGGCCAGTTTTGTCAAGTTTGGCCCAAAGCCTTGTAGGATGGCCTATTTAATTTATTAAAAATAAAATAATAAAATAATATTTATTTTATGTGGCATGACAAAATACCAATACTAACCCTAATTTTTAGATGACTGACATTATTTCGTAGACTTTATTTCATCACCCAATAATTGTATTTTTCTTATTTTCCTCATTTCTTTGACTCTATTCCTCTATGATATACATTCTAAAGCTGAAGTATTATGTTGACTCTTTCTGGTTTGTTATTTTTTTCTTATGAGAAGTACTAGTGCATTCATGAATGAAACTTTCTTTGCTCTATACAATTATTTTCTTTGCTTAGTATCTACAGTGGTAGGCCTACAAGGCCTGTAAGCCATGTCGGGCTTTCTTATTTTTAAAAATAGGTCGGGCTTGACCTACAAATAAAGTCTTTGATAGGCCAGATAGGCTGAATTTCTTTTTGCGTAGGCTTGGGTCAGGAAGGCCAAAGCTCAGCCCAGCCCATTTACACCCCTAACTAGACTTCTTATGAGAAATAAAAAAGGACAAACAAGAAAGAGTCAACATAATACCTCAGCTCTATAATGTATATCAGAGAGGAATAGAGTCAAAAAAATGGGGAAAATAAAAAAAATACAATTACTAGGTCAACCAAAGCTGAAATAAAGTCTACAAGAGAATATCATTCTTTGAAATATCTTTAAACCACCATCAAGACAAGGGTTGGTACTAATTGGCACCTAAAATAAATATTTTATTTTATTTTATTTTTAAAAATTAAATAGGTCAGCCTACAAGGCTTTAGGTTAGGATTGGCAAAATTGGCCTACGGCCTATTTGTTAAAAATGTTTTCTTATAAGCCTAAGCTTACTCTACTTTTCAACATAGGCCGGGCTAAGGCATTCTCAACGTATGCTGGGTTGTAGGCAAGGCCAGCCTGGCCCATTTACCCCGTACATGTACCCTCATCCCCTCTGTAAATTGACTAATTTTTTTAAGCGTGTTTATAAACTGATGTAATTTAATAAAAACGCAAAAATAACTGATTCAATTCAAAATAAATCAAACTTATATATTTATAATTTTATTTATAATGTTACATTCTATCTATATTTTAATTTTTTAAAGTGTTAATATTATTTTGATTAATAATTTATAATTGAACTTGTGATTTAAGTATTATAGTAAATGCGCTATTAATATTGATTATGTTATAATTTGTGATTTAAGATATTTGATGTTTTGAATTGAAATATATATCTAAGATTTATTTACTATTTTTCTTACAATATAATATAATTTTAATTTAATCAAATCATTTTAAATTAGATCTGATTTAAATTAAAAACTAAACTGATTGAATAATCCTTCCATTTTAATCCGCCCAACACTTATAATTTCTTTGTCTTACCCCAACTACAGCGTATCAAATTTTCTCTTCCTTCTCGAGTTTCATCGTGACGTTACGAAATCTCCTAGGATTGCTACTTGCTAGCATCTTTTTTAGTTTATTTTCCTTCAAAAAAGTTTGGAGACGAGGATGTCACAGTTCAGGATCTCTCTCTCTATATATTTGTTTAAATTAGAAATTAGGAAGGCCAATCGAGCTGTTGTTGAATTGGAGCAGATTTTAGTCAATAGATCCGAATCTAAATTAGTGGTATATTTTGTGATTAGCCTACATTCAATAAAAAATGTTCTTGTCTTTATGATTCTGAAATTTTTGGGGCAATGATCTATGCCATATAGTATTATTTAGTTTTGCAATCTAACTTTATCAATTTTCTTTTTTTACCTTGGGATCAGTTTTATCCATTATTATTTCTCTGTTGAATAGTTGAGATATTTTGTAATGTTTGCTAATGTAAGAAGAGAGGACGATTTGCCTAAATACGAATTTGACTGAATATGATACAAATTTAAAATTGGGCAAAATATTTTTGACAAAAACACGACCTATTTATTTTACGGATTGTCGTAACATAATATTAATAACCCGCATATTTATAGTGTATATTAATAACCCACATATTTATAGTGTAATGTTTGTTATGTAGGTTGACATAACACCAATAATCTGCCAATAACAAATAATGTTACTTTGTTATATGAATTGACACGATACGATAAATTAAAAATAATATATTTATGACATAAAATTAAACAAATAACTTATAAGAAAATTAATATGAATCAATTTTAAGTTCACATATTGACTTAGGATATGACAAAAAGTATTTGGATCAATTTTTGACAACCCAAATTGAATTTAAAATAATATTTTTGTGTCTTGTTGAAAATTATAACCCCTGTTGTAGAGAGGGGGGTATGTGAAAATTGGAATGATGAAATTGCAATTTTGTTTTCTATTTATTTATTTTTTTCAAATGGGGTTGGGGATTGGCGTTTTCTTCTTTTTCTTGTTATAATTATATAATATGTTTTAGCAGTTTCTTTAAGCAATTAATAATGAAAGGAATTTGGAAGCAACAAACATGAAAATGAAGGCTAGTTTTAGGGAGTAATTAAAAACCCTGGAGAAAGTGCAAAATGATACTTGACTTTATGTGAGCTTCGGGAATGGTGGTGGCAAAATGGAATTATAGTGGCATGGACCTATTTCAGCTGCTATGGCCCACTTTCACCAGTGGGTTTTCCAATCACTCTCTTTCTGATCATTCATCTTCTTTCTTTGTCAAGAACAAAAAAAAGTTATATTATATTCTTTTAATAAATTTTCTTATCTTAACAAATAAAAAAAAAATTATGAAAAATTATATTTATCCTTTCAAACAATATAAGTGAGAAAAAGATACAAATTAATATTTTTTATTTAAAATTTAAATTAAAAAAATATTCATTTTCTTCCCCTATCATTTTCATTGCTTGTGTTTTTTTTCTTTACTTAAAATAATAAAACTCTATGTGATTCAAAAGTACAAACATCAAACCCTTTATTTATTACTATAAAATTTAAATTTATTTTAACAATCAAAAGATAGTTAAACTTCTTCATTAATCTTTTAATTTTTCATTTATTTATTTTTGCAGATAATTATTTTATTTTTTAAGTTTAACTTTGCATAGTTACAGAAAAATTAACGTCAAATTACAATTAAAAGCATTCATTTAAGGATAAAGAATCGTTAAAAATGAAAATAAAATAACTTCTCACAAAGTAAAAAGAATATTGCATGAATATTAAATTCATAAAACTAATCTATTATTCATAAATTATTAAATAAAATTAATTACAAATATTAAGACATAAGTACAGTACTTGTACATATTTAATTTATAACAATTTATCATTTTAAATACATGCATAAAGTATAATAAAAAACTAATAGTTAAAAATAACATGCAGGAACGGGCAAGTTATGCATCGTTTTCACGTATGTTGAGCAGTATTCTTCAAGGCAACAATGACACACACACCCTTCTTTTTTGCAGTTTCCACTTGTTGGTGTAATCCTTAAACCCTTTCTTTTCTTTTCTTTTCTCTTTTTTATTCTATTTTAAAAAGTAATTACAAAAATTTCCAACATCTTGAGTTTAAATCCTGAAAATGGAAAAAAGGATTTGAAAGAGCTATCCCTTTAAAAAAATCCGATAAGTGCTTGAATCAAATGTAATCCAAATAATGAACCAGTTAGAAAATTAAAAAAAAAAAAATAAATCCAACATGCACGAAATACTTCTTCGGTGCAAAGTCATCATCAATCTTAAGGATCGGAAATATATATAAATATGATAAATCTACCTTTATGATTTGATAATCACATCATATATTCCTTAAAATAATTAAATTCCATGGTGGGTTGGTTTGCCATGGCCGTGTTTACATTGGATAGCTCCATGTAAGGTATTTATAATGGTGTATAGAGATAGAAATAGGTCAGGAAAGAAGGTTTCTTCTAAGCCTGTTGATCCATATACCTCTAACTTGACCTAATTTTTTTTTTTTTTTTTTTACATGACTTGACCTAAACTTATTTAGTAAACAAGTTAATATTTTAAAAAAATATATATATCTAATCAGAAAGATAAAGTTTTAGACCATTTAAAAAGTTTTATAAGTTTGAGGTATGCTTAAGTAAATTTAAATAATATATTATTATTATTATTATTATTAGGGATGAATATTTTTTCCCTACAAGTTCCTGAAAGTCTTGTGGAGAGATTAATTTATATATATATTTTTTCACTCATTTCTATAAGTGTACTAGGGATTAAGTTATATTCAGTTTGAAGTAGAAATATT